CCCCAATTCCCCAGCACTGTTCCCATTCCCCAATTCCCCAATAAAATCTTTAAAAAAAAGATAAAAGGCATACAATCCATGTATCCAAGAGGAGTTCACCACAAGAAAATTATGAAATGCTAAAGAACTTTTACACAGCTGATGGTAAAGTTAAATGACAGATGACAAGAAAAGGTTCACAACATATGCAGAGAAAAAGGTTAGTACCCAAACTACACAGAGCCATCTGCTGCAAAACAACTCAACCTTGCACAAAAATAGTTTTTGTTGCATAGCTGATGTCACAGAGATGAGGGAAATTCCAGAAAAAAATGAAAGGGAAGCAAGTGGAAAGGGCTTTGAGTTGAGCAGTGAGATGACTAGAAAAAGCAGGGTCATGAGGCAGTTGCCAGTACCAGCCGCAGACGTGAGCCTCAGCCCCTGGCTTGCTCAGTGGGGGCAAAAAGGGTTCAAGTGCTTTGAAGCTGGTCTAGATTCACAGCTCCCAGCAGGAGCCAAGTCCTCTGTGGATAAAGCAAACCACATGGTACGCATGGTTACAGGAAGCTGACATATCCTGTCCACCCTTGAACAACACAGGTTTGAAGTGCATGGGTCCACTTACAGGTGGGTTTTTCCAATAAAGACTATATATATTTTCTCTTCCTTCAGATTTTAATATTTTGTTTTCTCTAGCTCACTTTATTGTAAGAATACAGTATATGATACATATATAAAATATGTGTTAATCAACTATGTTATCGGCAAGGTTTCAAGTGAACTGTAGGCCATTAGCTAAGTTTTGGGGGAGTAAAAAGTTACTGACTCCCTAACACAGATTTTCCACTGCATTGGGGGGGGGAAGCTGACACCCCTAACTCACATTATTCAAGGGTCAAATGTAGTTCGTTAAGAAAGAAGAAAGATATCCATACATAGACAAGTTATAATGAAATAAAACAAGAGATGATATTGAAAGTATTTAAAGAGAAATTAGTTTATCTAAAAAGATAGGCTGGATGTAAAAACAATAACCATATGTCATTTACATGGAACACCCTTAAATATAAATAAACAGGTTCAAAAGTTAAGGGATTGGAAAAGATACACCAAGAAAATGTTACCAAAAAGAAGTATCCAACAAAACAGACTTTAAAACAATAAGCATTATTTTGTATTGCATTAAATCCACCAAGACGACATAATAATTCTCAGGTTACATGCACCTAATAAAAGAGAGACTAAAAAGCTTTTTAAAAGGTTAGAAATTGTTTCAGGTTAAGATGGCAACACTCCAGCACTCCCATCTCTAACAGCTCAAATAGCCAAAAAAGTACACCTCCTTTGCTGGAAGGCAGCAGAATGCTGCTGAGGTGACAGGAACTCCAGGGCTAAGACTCCCGCAGGGAAGAAACTGAGAGGTGAGCTGATTTCCTAGAGCCACTTCACCAAGAAGTACATGAGGGGATGTTTCTTTTTAGAGAAGGATGCCAACTTATTAATAAATAAAAAAGAAATAACTTAGAACATCACTGTTTTGCCACTCATAATTAATGGATCTAGGCATTGAGTATCATAAAAAGACAACTAGATACTGTCTCTGAAGGGAAGAACAATATATAAATCTATGAAGCAGTGCTGCCAAAAAAAAAGCCTTAACGATCAATACTGCAGATCTGATTATCAATTTATAATAAATAGAGAGGGCAAAGAAACATACTTCAAAATTCCACAACTGCTCTGAAATTTAGCAACACACTTCTGAGAAACCCAGGGATTATAGGTCTAAATGTGAAAGATAAAACATTAAATATTTGAGAATAAAACATTAAGAGGATATCTTCATGAACTTGGGATAGGCAAATATTTCTTAAACAGGATACGAAAAAGGACTAACCATTAAGGAAAAAGATTGTTAAATAGGACTTAAAAAAAGATATTTAGATCAGAACTGGAATTTGAAAAAAAATTAAATGGTGCTGAGTCACCTAGTATGTGCACAGTATATCCATTAAAAAAAGAAATCAAAGCCTACTACATACCATATATAAAAATAAATTTCTGATGAATTAAGATGTTAAACGTAAAATGCAAAATGTTTACAATTTTTAGAAGAAAACATAGGAGTTTGCCATTTTGAACATGCAATATAGGATAGGATTTCTTAAACAAGACAACAGAAGCACTAACTAGTAAGGGAAATTTTGACTGAAAACATTTAAATTAAGAACTACTTATCAAAAGAAACCATAAGGAAAGAGACAAATTACAAAAGAAAACTTTCTCACACATATAACCTAAAAGGGTTAGTATCCAATATATAAAGAACTCTGACAAATAAAAAAGACAACCAGTCCACTAAAATAGGTAAAACTTAAAAACTTTGCCATATGCACCATCTCCAATGCTGTTGTCATCTTTTAACTACTGGACCAACACTGTTCCCAACCAGAGCACCAATGACTTCCACTTCGCTAAGGCCAAGTCCACTCTCAATCCTTATATCCTACGTGAGACATCAGCAGCACTTGACACAGGTGATCATTCCCTCCTCCATGATACACTTTCTTAGCTTGGCTTCCAGAACCCCGACATCTCCTGGGTTTCCGGACCTCACGGGCACCTCTTTTCAGTCTATACTGCTGGTGACCACTCTTCTCCCTAACTTCTGCAGACTTTCCTAAAATCTCTCAAGGTTCACAAAACCAGCATGTCACCTCCATGCGCCCAGTATCTCTTGCTAAGCAGCCCTAAGCCCAGCACAAGCAGCAGCCAGCTACAGTTCGCAGCTTGGCCTCTCAAGGCACCACTGAGCCCAGTTTAGGTGGCGGTCATCTGTGGATAGCTCTGTGGCTCATGCCAAGTGGCCCCTCTCAGGAGGCCCTGGGGCTGGCACACCCGGTGGCCAGCTTTGGACCAAGCCTGAGCATCACCCAACCACCTCCAAGGACTACACACTCAAAGGGCAGACTGGGCAGACACCAGGGCTCTGCTAAAACAAACCCTGCTCTGTAGGGTCAGTCCCTGTACCACAGCTCCTCCACTGCAGTCACGGCCAGTCCTCAGAACCAACCAGCCCACGGGTCTTCAATATTCATTCTATTATGTTTTCAAAACCATCTTTACACTGACAATACCAAGTGCTAGTGAGGATGTGGAATAACTAGAACTCCCATGTGGTACAGGTATACCTTGCATGATTTGGGGCAGTTTCTCATAAAATTGAACATACACTTAACCATACAGCAATTCCACCCCTTAGGAAATTTGCCCAGGAGAAATAAAAGCATATATCCACACAAAGACTTAAAACCAAATGGGGAAACCCAAATGTCCATCAACAGGCAAACAGAAAAAAATTGTGGTACATCCACATGGAACATGATTCAGCACTAAAAAAAACCCTAATTTACTGATACACACGTCACAGATGACTCTCGAAAGCATTACACCAAGTGTAAGAAGCCTGACATAAAACAGTACTTACTAAACACTTCCATTAAGATCAAGTGCAAGAACAGATAAAACTAATTTATGGTGAAAATAATCAGAACAGTGATGGTCTCTGGAGTGGGAAGGGTTGGCTGGAAAGGGGTGGGAGCGAACTTCCCGGGGTAATAGGTATGTTCTAGATGTTGATGTAAGCGATGGTTACAGAAGTGCGTATCTTTGTCAAAATTCACCACACTGAACATTCAACACCTTATTGTACGTAAATTATGTCTCAATTTTTTAAAAGTTTAAGCCATACAAGATTATTTTTTTAATTGAAAATTTATACACTTACCTCCTTTTCTTTTGAGCCAGGTTGAGTTCCATAAACTTATACTTCTGGTACTGTTCATCCAGCTTCTTTAGCACTATATCCGCAGTCTCATTCCCAGGCTGTTTCATGAAGGAATCTACATCTTCCTTTAGTATCAAAAATAATACATTTCAAACTTGAGAATACACAACTCCAAGCTGATTTTACTTCTATAGTTCTATTTATGAAACACAGAAGAAAAAAACATTGTGTTTCTTTTTCTCCAAACGTTTTTGGGGTTTTGTTTTGTTTTGTTTTGGGTTGTTATTGGTTTTTTTTAGCTGAGCCATCCTGCCACCTGTTGGCAGCTCAGCGGCAGCTCAGCTCGGGCCAGTCATCGAACCGCTGTTGCTCAGACCTCGCACTCTTCGGCGAGCTCTTAACCAACTGAGCCACTCAGCCGGCCCCTTCAAAGGCTTGTTTTTAACTAAAAAAGTTAGAAACCATTTCAGACAGTGCATATACACTTTTTAAAGCTAATTTATCCTTCCTTCACCTTCCTCTTTTTTTTTTTATTTATGTAGAGAAAGAAAAATGACCTTGCCTGCTTTATGCATCCCCCACGGGGCCCTCATAGTAAAATATTAAAATTACCAACAAACACACTGCCTAGTCAGGCACCCTAGCCACAAAATGATTTGGCAGGTTGCATCCTAAAATTATTGATTTTTGTTACTTAAATTTTTAACTCAACAAGTTCTGCCATTGAAATCACGCTAAATGTGGTCATTAGGTTCCCCAGGCAAGCCACAAATACCTCCTTAAGTGTCAAGTGGTTGAAGTAAAATAAACCTAAAAGGCAAACAGAGAAATTTTTTGTAACAGGAACAATAAGCAAAAGAAAATCAGTAAAACCAAGCAGCATTTTTAATATGCATAGTACATGCTGGTCCTTGAAGAAAAGCTAGTTAATTAAATAAGGATCAGGAGCTAGATGAAAAAAGGTGGAAACTTTAAGGAGAGTCTATAAGAGATTTCCAGTACTTTGAAGAATTTTAGTCCTTCATTGTAAGTTCAAGTCAATCATCTTATGGTTTCTGGCATCTCTACATCATTATTCTTACCCATGCTTACTAACTATAAGGACTTTTAGCCAAAAGAAGAAAAAGGAAGAGAAACACAGCAAGGGCATGAGCTATGAAGCCATCAAACTAGAGACACAGTAAAAGAAACTAAAAAGGTGAGGCTGTGGCAATGGCTGAAATGTGCATGTTCCCATATTCCTAGAGGGGTCACTGCAGGAAAGAGAAATAAGTCCCAGTTTCTAACACATGGGGACATGCTAGTCGGAGCGTAGAGTCTAGCAAGGAGAATGAACTATAGTGGCATAGGTTTGTGGTTAAGAGACAGGGCTGCCTGGTTTGAATCGTGGCTTCACCACATACTAGATGTGTTGACCTCAGGGAAGTTATTTAACCTCTCTGTCTCGATTTCCTCATCTGTCAAATGGGGGGGAAAGTATATTTTCATCACAGGAGATTAAATCAGTTAACATGTGTAAAATGCTTAGAAGAGTACATGACAGCTTGTAACTGCTCAACACACATTAGCTATGTCTATAATACAATGTGCTAAGAACACATGAAAGTGCCAAGAATTCCTTCCATTTGGGGTAGAGTCAGGAAGAACTACAGAGAGGTCATATCTGAGACTAGGTGTTGAGAGATGAAGAGGTCAGCAAATGGACAACGGGCAAAGGAACAATTAACCAGAAAAAGAAAACAAATTACTACAGCACTGGGAATGCGGAAAGGGCAAGGTCTGGCTTCTAAGCAATATGGTATACTGCCTCCTATCATCACAGAAGCCAATATACAGTCGGCCCTCTGTATCAACAGGTTCTGAGTCCGTGGTTTCAACCAACTGTGGTTCGAAAATATTTGAAAAAAATGTTAGGTTGCTGCTGACATGTATTTACTCCCTAAACAATGTAGTATAACAACTATTTACATTGTATTTACATTTTATCAGGTATTATCTGCAATCTAGCGATGATTTTAAGTATATGGGAGGCTGTATATGTGCGTAGGTTAATACAAATACTACAGCATTTTATATATGGGACTTGAGCATCTGCAGATTTTGTGTGAGGGCGGGAGGGTCCTTGGAACCAATCCCCCATGGATACCGAGGGATGACTGTATATTAAGCGACAACTTGCAACACTGAAAGCACATTTGCAGTTTCTCATAGCAATTTTGTAAGTACTGTTATCCCTAGTTCCATTAAGGAAACTGAGGCTCGAAGCAGTAAAATAATATGCTCAAGACTAAGCAGCAATTGTTCTTTCTACAATACCATGCTAGTCCCATTAGTTTGGGAACATAAAAATAATTACATAAAATTTGGATGGCTTATCATATCATATTGGTAGAAATTTTAAGGTCTAGAAAAAATAACCCATAGAATTTTAGGGGAAAAGGGCAATTTAATACTTTTTTTCTAAAACCCTCAGATAAAGTTTGTCACCCTGAATTAGATTTTTGAAGCCAACTCTAGCTGAGCACCAGGATGAAGTATTTAAGGCACTATGGAAATACAATTTGACATCTAGTTATGAGATTATGCTTTGTGTCAGGCACTGTGCTAGGACCAGGAGAAAATGACATTGAGCAACATGGTGACCTGCCATTCCTCCCAGTGGCAGAGCAGGATGTGTACATAGAGGCTCTGGATCTCCACAGATTGCCCAAGTTCAAAACCTGGATAACTCACTTACACACTGTGTGGCTCGGAGGAAATTATTCAAGGGCTCTGTGCCTCAGCTTCGTCATCTACAAAATGGGGATAACAGTACCTACCTCCCAGCGTTTTGTAAAAGCATTAGGAAAATGCCTGGCATGCAACAAATTTTATCTCATTAGTATTAGTTGGGGGATAAATGTAAGGAAACAAATGGCACAGCTCAGGGAGGAAACACAAAATTACTGAATAACTACAAAACTGAATCAGTAAATACAAATATGCAATATAGAGTTTATATAAAAGTAGTTTAAATAAAAGAAATGGGTCTTTTGAAGGAGATATGACTAAGATAAAGGCAGAGACAAGGCAACATAATAAAAACCAAAAGGTCGAGAAAAATCCATTAGGATTTTTATAGTAGCTCATCCAGAACTGAGCGGGGAAAACAGATAATACTGGCCTTGAAGGCCAGTCAGGTTTTCTCTCATCATTCAAATAGTTTTTAAATACTAGTTCTAGAATAGCCTGATGGAAGGACAAGGTTGAAAGCACCTACTTGTTTCTCTGTTTGGACTTGGGTTGGTCTCCCTGTTCTGTGAAGCCTCCAAATTGCATTCCCTGCTTTTCTCTCAACTCCACATGATTCATTCTCTACTAAGTTGTTACAATAATGTATGCAAAACCAAGTACGATTATACGGTGGCTTTATTTAGACACCTTCTAATGACAGCCTGTTGCCTACTGGATAAAGCCTCAATTCCTTAGCAGGACAAACAAGGACTTCACTTTCTCACCCTATCCTACTTTCCCATCAATCTCTTATTCCATTCCTCCAAGGCAACAGACCATTACATTCCATCAACAGACTGGGCTTCATTTCCTATTTTCAGCCATCCAGGGCACAGACGCAGGCCAAGACCTCATCTCCCGGGAGGAGGCAAGCAAAGAATAACCAGCACATGTGGGCTGAGTCTCAAGCTTCTCACTGCCTCCCCTTTTCCAGGCAGCAGGGGATGAAATCTGGTGCCCAGTAAGGGGCGCTCCCTCAGACCGCCCCACTCCTGAGCCCTCCCTCCCCACGCCCCCTTTTGTTTTGGGGCCTTCTGGGACTGCGTTTCCCCCGGGGCGGATCCCAGCACAGCTCAATCCGTCCAGGCACGAAGGGCGAGAGGGGACGGAGCGCTCTCTCGCCGGACCTTCAGCTCAACTACTTCCCCCCAACAGTCGAGGCCAGAGAGGGGACTTGAGAAGGAAGGGGTCAAGATGCCTAGGACCAGCGTGTCTCTTACCACAAACACGGCTTCAGGAATCCCTAGGTGGTACCGCCGCCCGTTCCCTGAAACCACTTCTCCTGAGCCACAAGCATCTTTAGCGTCCGCCATCTTGGGGAAGCAAACGCGCGACTAGCCGCCTTTCCAGCCGCCAGCCGCTGGGGGGTCGTGATTGGCTCACTCACACCTGCAGGCCCGCCTCTCCCCTGTGAGTCTGCGCATCCGTAGGCAAACAGGAAGTAGCCGCCCCTTCTCCTCCCTCGCCGTGTCGACCATCCTGTGGGTGCTGATTGGCTGCGCGTAGATGAGTGACAAGTATGAAAGGGCCGCCGGGGAGAGCTGGCTGTGCAGGAAAGACCAATGCGGACTCCTGGAAAAAGGGGTCCGGGGATTTTTGTGGACGGGTAATTTACTTGCAGCCAGTAAAGGAGACGGGATTCACATATCCAAAGCTCTGTCTCCCCAAGGGAGGCTTAGCCATTCATTACTTATGTACACCATTTGTTTAATTACACATTGATTTCTTCTTTGCAGTTGGCTGCACTTATCCAGTCGAATACTTGTCAAGCTCACCCTGTTTATGGCTGCATCTGCAAAATACTGTGTTAAAATCAACACTTAGCAAGAATAGCATTTAGTAAGAACTACCCAGACCTTGAGACCTTTGTCCTATTGCTCCCTGAGATTTTTCCACTCCTCACTCTTGGGGAGATGGGGTCAATGAGTCATACTTCTGTAACTGCTTCCTGTTGAACATGGACAGAGTACATCTTTGAGTTAGAGGAGTACAATTCTCTGGCTGCCTGACTTATGAAAGTCTTGGGGGTCCCCGGGGTTCTGGGAGTCCTGAGAACAGGAGTGCATAAAGCACACTACTCTAACAGGAGACATGGGCCATAACAGACAACTCAGAAGAAGGGGAAAATATTTTTTAAAACCATAAAACCATTAGTAGTGTCAATAGAAAAATAATATTGACTAGGTGTTTCATCACCAAAAAGGAGTTATTTGGGGGAAAACAAAGGGTTGTAACCCAGTGCATGCAGACATGGCAAGTCACATGCACACTCTGGCCTGCCTGTAAAGATGGAGGGGTATTTATAGAAGAGAAAAGGGAGTTAAGGGAAGGGGAAGTTAGAGCCATAGAACTTTATTGTAAACATAGAGTTCTTCCTATAGGTTTCTTGCTATTAGAGTGTAAGAACTCCTCCCAAAAGCCCTAGTTCTTCCCATAGACCCTACTGACTAATTATGTTCCCTTAAAGTTCCAGTCAGTCTTTACCAGTAGTTATATAATGAAATATGCTAGTAACCATTAAAAACTCCAAATAAATGGAGAGAAATTAAAGAATACCTGAATGAATAAGTGGTTATGCTGTGTTCATGATTGGGAAGTGCTGATATTGTTAAGATACCTATATGTCTTTTTCTCCAAATTTACCTGTACATTCAATGTAGTCTCAACCAGAATTTTAGAGAACTTTTTTCCATAGAAATTGATTAGCTGATTGTAATATTTTCCTGGAATTCAAAGAGAACCTGAATACCTGAAACAATCTTGAAAAATATGAATAAATATGGAAAACTCATACTACCTGATTTTGAGACACAGAGAAAACTGTGATAATCAAGACAGTGTGTTATTGGACTAAAGATAGACGTTTGGATCAATGGAACAAAATACAGTAAAAAATAGACCCAATGTGTGTGTGTGTGTCTAAGGGGAAACAAATTTTTTATTAAAAATTTAACTTGTGAATTAATGCCATATGTAGGGATTCTGATTTAGTGAGACAAAGTCATGCTTATGATGATATGATTCCTCACAAGGAAGACCCTATATCCATACATTTTCTTTATTATCTTTGCAGCTGCTTTTAAAAAATCCTCTCATTATTTATATTCATTTTATTTTTTATCTCCACATGCAATTTTTATTATTCAGCTAACTGTCCCAAACAACCCCATTTCACTGATGCCTTTTTAAAAATATATTTTTAATTATAGTTGTCATACAATATTATATTCATTTCAGGTATACAACATAGTGATTCAACATTTATATACCTTATGAAGTGATCACCATAATAAGTCCAGTATTATCTAGTACTATAGTAAATCTAGTATTATCTATTGCGGGTTATCAGAAAAGTCATGACGCATGTTTGCAACAGACGGCACTAGTTCATTTTTGGAAGTACTAAAGTCATTCGCATCCATGTTATTGCTATGTCATTTGACAGCTGACAGTTCTAGCTTAATTCTAAAAAAAAATTGAGTGATTTGGTTGAGTTTTGGAGATTTTACAAGTTGAAGGTGGAAGACCAAACTGCATTTTTGCCATATTTGTCATAAAGTGAAGAACGCGCATCAAGCTTGTGAAAAGTTGCATAAAGTTTACGGTGACAATGCTCTACAACAGCCATTCTCAACCTGTGGGTCGCAACCCCTTTGGGGGTTGAACGACCCTTTCACAGGGGTCGCCTAAGACCAGCGGAAAACAAAAAGATATTTACGTTGTGATTCATAACAGTAGCAAAATTACAGTTATAGAGTAGCAACGAAAATAATTTTATGGTTGGGGGGTCACCACAACATGAGGAACTGTATTAAGGGGTCGCGGCATTAGGAAGGTTGAGACCCACTGCTCTACAAGAACGTCAGTGCCAACAATGGTTCACAAAATTCCGTGCTGGAGATTTTGATCTCAACAATGCTCCTCGGTCAGGGAGGCCCACCAAGGTTGATGACAACAAAATAAAGGCACTGATCAAGTCAAACCCACATTACATGACACGAGAGATTGCAGGAACATTGAACATCCATCATTCAAGCGTTTACGACCACCTGAAGAAGCTGGGATACATAAGCAATCTCGATATTTGGGTTCTGCATGATCTCAAAGAAGTTAATTTGATGGTGCATATAAACATCTGCAATATGCTCATTAAACATGAGGAAAATGATTCTTTTTTGAAATGACTGATAACTGGTGATGAGAAGTGGATTGTTTACAACAATGTGGTATCCAAATGGTCTTGTTCCCAACATGATGGTTCGCCACAAATGACATCGAAAACAGACATTCATCAGAGGAAGGTTATGCTCTCAGTGTGGTGGGATTTTAAAGGTGTCATGTTTTTTGAGCTCCTACGAAGGAACCAAACAATCAATTCGAATGTATACTGTCGGCAATTGGACAGTTTGAATGAATCCATCATCCAGAAACGTCCAGAGCTTATTAAATGTAAAGGAGTTGTGTTCCATCATGACAATGCGAGACCACACACAAGTTTGATTACCCGTCAAAAATTATTGGAGCTTGGATGGGGTGTGTTGCCACACCCACCATACTCGCCAGATCTTGTTCCACCAGACTTCCACTTGTTTCGCTCTCTTCAAAACTCCTTGCATGGTATAACGTTAAATTCAGATGAAGCTGTAAATCAGCACCACCTTGTTCAGTTTTTTGCAAATAAAGACAGGTCCTTCTATGAATGAAGAATTATGAAGCTCACTGAAAGATGACAAACGATTATCGAACAAAACAGGCAATATATCATTGATTGATCTTTGTTCTTTATATAAACAAATGACCCTTGAAAAACATAGACAAAATGTCATGACTTTTCCGACAACCCAATAGTATGTCACTGTACATAGTTATTATGATATTATTGACTATATTCCCTTATGCTGTACATTACATCCCCATGTTATCAACTGAATTTTAAGAAACGTACCAAGGGCCGGCCGAGTGGCGCAATGGTTAAGAGCTGGCTTGGGACGCCAGAGGGCCCCGGTTCGGATCCCACATATGAGGGCCAGTGACACTG